GTGTGAATTGCCTTTCTTAAAGGTTGAACATTCTGTTTCTATTCATAAGGGGCTACTTTATAAATTTTGTTTACTTTATCAATTTCCACTCTGCTCAAACCTAACATTATAAAATGAGCTTCAGGTTTCAATTCTCCATTTTCTTCACAAATGTGATGAATTCGATATATATTTTTTAAAAACAAAGTTTCCTCAAATAAGGTTTGACCTTCTAGTTGAATAAAATTATTATTATACAATATTTCATTCCCTTTGTATCTCTCTTCTGTTTTAACATATTCTTTCATATCTATCCATGCTTTCAGAAGATTCTGATAAAAGGAAGGTAACATAAGTTTCACTGTATCTCTCCAATAATTGCAATAAAATATTAAATTACCTCCTATCGGTCTCATTAAATATTTAAAGTATTGTTTCCATTTGATATCATGAGTTCCTGTTACAAGCCTTTTTATCCACATTATTCTTTGTGCTTTTACAAACAGCCTAAAATTCATCATTTTGAGCTCACCCTGCTGATAGTCTAACATCATTGTACTTCTTTTAATTTTATCTTTACCTCTCCACAAAAAATCAAAACATATTACTTCCATTTCTTTGTATACCCACTCTGGAACTGGCATTAGTGATGTTACATATGTCAATTTAGAGTATCCATATACTTTCATCAATTGAATTTTACCCATTAAAGTTAGGTCACGCTGTTTCCACCACGTCAGTAGTTTTTTAATTTTGCTCAATATTTCCTTATAATTCATTTTTTCCTTGATATCTACATGAACTGAAAAATAAACACCTAATATTTTAACAGCATCTACAAGTTTCACAAACGGAAATGTATTATTAGACACCTGTGGGCCCAGGGGCAGAATATATGTCTTATCGATGATAGAACATCGATACTTATCGGTTTCGTTTTTTCTGGGACGCACTGTATAATATATTTATGTATGTGTGTGTCTCTCTTTCTCTATCTCTCTCCCGCTCTCTCTCTCTCTCCCTCTCTTTCTCTTTCTTACCATTAACGATTATAATAACGTTACAACCATGGCGTCGGTGAAACATTAGATGCCGCCGAGATAATTTAATGTCACTGTACTCCTTATTCGTTTGGACTACGCCTTCAAAATAAGACTGCAACTCGAGATCATCCTACATGAGGAACATGAAGAACAAATTGACAGATCTTTTTGATAATCATAATAACATATAAATTGGGAGGACATAATTATGTTTCTTTCATGAGACAAACACGAGTATATAGCTTCAACCCTAAAGCCAATAATATATCTAAACGTGACCGTTACCTCATAATTAATCTGTGCCGAAATAAAGCAATGTCGAATCATCATGTAATCTCATAGTTCATATGTAAATTCGATCATATGATCACATAATAATCTTTAAATAAATTTATTTATGCCACCAAATACCACCAAAGTTAACTTTGTTTTAGACATTACAAAAAACAACACGATTGACTGTACAGCAATTGTGCTTGTAAGTATTATAATGACAATCGAGTATCTATTGATAGTGATTGAAAGGTTTGAAAATGTGAAAGGATACTCGAGATCAGTGGCATTTTGCAGACTATTAATGACGTCATTTTCTGGTCTGCCATCTCCTTGAAATGCCTACGAACTTTTCAAAATAATGAAGCAAAAATCATTTGGGTATCTGATTACTAAGAAAAGGTATCTTGAGGTATGACCCTTTTTGAGGACCCAAACGAAGCTCTGAAGAACATCAAGGTTTACTGTAATTTAATTCGGTAAACTGAAGGTATTACAAGTCTGTAGATTTCGTTCACGATTCCTGCACGATTCAGTTTGTGTAAAGATACGTAGTTTAATATTATAAATCACCGGAAGTAAATATGTTACTCTAGTATCTCCTTTTTTAAAGAAAATATACCGCATATAATATATGAATTGCAAGCATGAGATTCATTCGATACGCGTTAATTCAAGAAATTTATTGTAGATTAGAAAATGAAGATAGCATTTGTTGAATTGTCTGCTTTAGGTGGAGGTCCTCATTACGTTCTACAGGTTATAATGTTGTGCTTTATTCTGAACTGAATGCTATTACCAGAAGAAAATTCAATGCAAAATTATTTTATGACAAAACGTATCCACAAATCATCGATGACTCGATAGGAACTTCTTAAACCTATCGAGATCTGCAGTGTCTAGTATCTCTATGATTACTCCGTTTGATCTTAGTTTGTCTGGACTTCGGAGACATCGTTATGGGAACGCAACAAAAGCGCTCTTTACACGTCGTAATTGACACGTATCATGAGATCGTAATGGACGTTACTGAGACGCAGTATAAAAAGAAAAGACAAAGAAGAAAAAGAAGAAGAGTATTGGATATTTTCATAGCGCACATATCCACATAAATATCTCTGCTAGGCTACTGGTTTCGGTGCTAACAGCATTCAAGGGATTCCTTTATACCGTTACCCATTTAACACCTGGATGGAGAGTGGCAAGTGATTGATGTCGTGGCAAATGACTGCCGCGACGGGACTCGACCTTCCAACCATGTGATCCACAGTCTGAAGACGTATCCGCCTGACCACGACACCTCTACACATAGTGCAAGGGTTTTTGCTAAATCGCCGAGTTTGAACGTGTCCAAAATACGTTTAGCTTTGGTAACCATTTTGAGGTTAACAGCTTTTGGTTTTCCCAGGCCCCGGGGCACCCTACAGATCAACAATAATACAATAATACTTTACTGGGATCGTGTAGCGACTAATAGAATGCTAAATACCAACTTCAGTATGCAGCGCTGTTCATGTAAATGTTAAACAAGGTTTTATATTCCTGAAACCAAATATGTTGATTGGTCGGTTGATTTGAAAAAGAACCTGGCATCGAGGGGTCAAGGAAATCATTACTCGACTTTCGGTAGAAACATCTATACAACGAAAATCAAGGTGTTTTTAAGTTCAATAAAAGACTAGTGTCGCAGGTAAACGACCCATGCAGGATTTAGTTGGTCAAATAATTTGCTGGTAGCATTTGTGAGGTTTGGGAATGGTATTCATTAAAAGGAACTGCCATTGCCAATGCTTTCGGGCGTATATTACAAAATTCCATTATAAAGATTACATTTTGCTCATACATACTGCAAATACACCACTATTTGAGAAATCATTATATTTATCAGTATCTATTTTTATGTATTCGTGGAGGGAATTGATAATTAGATTTGATTGAACTAAGTTAATTAAAGTTGAATTAAATTTAATTAACTAGATCAAATTAAATTATATTATATAAAGCCTTTCTGCACTAGTTTGGCTAGGAGGGATTAGACCTCCCTGCGTGATTACTGGCAGGTGCTTTTCTCATCAAATCAGCTCTCAATTAACATAAGAAAAAGGGGAACATGGGGATCAGCGGGTACCGCTTAGGCATTGTTGGCTGTACAGAGGGCGCAAGTAGCTACAAGTAGTGCAGTCCTGCTTTAGATGAAATTAGATGAAATGAAACTACTGAAGAAAGCAGTAACGTAATGTTTTAACGTCAACTTATTTCTTAGTGCGGCGTGACTTTAGAGCATTATTCTGGTAACCAGGTCGTAGGTCATCTAGACATGCACTCGATTCATGTTGCACAAAAATTGTATCTTGAGTCTATTTCCTTCTCCAGGATGGCCAAATGTATAGGCGAGTCGCAATTTATCGACCTTTAATACATGTCTTAAGTTTGCATCATCCATTAGCGGAATGAATCAAGGTTATAGCTTGGTTTGCCGTAAATGCAGGTTCTTTCTGGCGTGGAATGCACGACTCGGTTGATCGACGAAGGGGTAATTCTATTGCCACGTCGTCATGGAATCAAGATCCACTTCTCGCTATCCAATATGGATGGAGGCAGAAGGAAGGTTACAAAAACATTATCTAAACTCAACTCACGATCGCGTGAGTTGCAACGTGGGAATTCACCAACATTGTTAAAAGGTACATGACGTAGATAATTTCCGAGATGGATGAAAACACAACTCTGCCATGACTGATTATTGAGAAATGAATAGGTTGATGCAAAGAGCTTAATGTTAAATTCATGTTGTCGTCAGCATAGACGAATAAATTTATAGTTACTATAATGGCGTTAAGAGGGAGAGATTGCTATATAGATTACTATTACTACCGCAAATGTCTCAAAGCTCTCCTCTTTGACCATGATCAACAATAGATTCTTTGATAAATGTTATGTAAAGCGCTGTGAAACAACAGTTAGTTTGTAAGAGCGCTATAGAAATGACTTTATTGTATTGTATTGTACCGCAACTTAGTGCCAATACTAAAACACAATATGAAATCATAACCCATCAATCTTTCCCCTCCTCTTCTTCTCTTCCTCCTCCTTCTACCTCTACAACCACTATCACCAACATTAGTATTCGAAGTAGCAGAAGCAGCAACAGTAGTGGGAGGAGGAGGAGGAGGAGGAGGAGGAGGAAGAGGAGAAAGAGAAAGAGAAGGAGAAGGAGGAAGAGGAGGAAGAGGAGGAAGAGGAGTGACAATAGTAGTCCAAGAAGTATTTTTAAAGCTGGCAAAAGTCTAGCAACAAGCAGGCAAAAATAAATGAGAGTGAAATGTTAGATAACAATATTATTAAGTGGTACCATTACAAAAGTGTATACGAATGTCATCATCGATTTGACCCGAATCTATTATTGGGTAGTTTAATTGTTACGACAGTGACCGTCCTAATAATTTGATTTATTTATGAATGGAAGTTCTGTTGGAATAGATATGAAATGAATCGAGCACTGATGACTGATGAAGAATTACGCATCAGTATCAGCTGGTAGGGAAAACCCAGAATACATGAAGGAAGTAAACCGGAAAGAAGTCATAAGAAGTAACAAAGAGCTGAATCTTCTTATACTGTTTGTTAGTTACATAGTTTTTGTTGGCTTGCTTCTTAACAAGCCCGTGCCTGGACGATTTTTTTTCTTCAAAGTGAACTTCCTACCTTTAACTCTGATGTCGATGGATGGGGGTGTCTGATGATATAGTCGCTTCCGCTTCGCTCGACCAGACGCCATTTTGTAAATCAGTTCTCAGGCTTGCTATACACTGCGACTGTGGAAAGATGCGTAAAAGATGAATAATCATTGTATACAACAGAGTTGAAGAATTAGTGACAATGACATAAAAACACGATGACAACACGAACAAAATATAAAATATCTTGATAATATGAAACAAACTATACGATGGCAAAAAAAACAAAATTGACGATGCCGATAAAGCAAGTTATTATCATGTAAATTGGGCGATTTTTCGTCTATACTCGATTTCTTGTTTGTGTAAAGATGCCACGTACTCTATGATCCTGTTTGAAGATAATTCCATTACTGTAACTACCTGCATATCTCAATTCGATCAAACGAAAAATGTCCACAAAATGGTGTATCTTCAAGAAAAACAGTAGGTCTTTAAGTAATCATCATAAAGAACTCAAATTTAAGCGCTCGTCGATCAGATTCATTGGTAGCAAATGAAGAAGGAAATCATTTTGTGAGACATGGGTACTATTTCTAAAGACAATTATCGAAGTTGAAAGACATACAAGATGATTGAAAGACTTTGTTTAATGAATCCATAAAAATGCAATAAAGAGTGCATCACCAACCTACTGTGTAGTCGTAAAATTACAGACGTGATCATCTCTCCTCTTCAGATTAATTGGGAGTAGGGTAAATACAATTTAATTTAATTTAATTTCTAAGGGCCTGGTAGTAAACTGACTTCCTCAAGTCAATCTTCAAGAGTTTAATGAAGGGCTCAGGATGTTCTGATAAAGTTGCATCTTTTGTGAGAACGGTCTTTTGTTTTTTGTTCACTCAACCCACCCACTCACATCAATAAATTAAACGTATTACTATTAGAAATGAATAAAAGTAGCAAACCTTCGTATAGATGTTTCTATCTAGAAGGTCTCACACGTGACTTAAAAAAGGCATATCATCAATTTTAATTTTATTATACAGTGAAACCTGTAAATAAAGACCACCCAAGGGAGACAAAATTTCATTGAGAAACCATTTTCAAGGAAACAAACGATTTGGTCTTTGTAGACAGATGGTCACTAAAGCAGGTTTGACTGAAGTATTTCTTATTTTGTCGGACGACCATTTTGGGCGAAATCAACTGCTTCCCTTCCCTCATCAACCAAATTCAGTTAAATGAAATAAATTATTATATCAATAATCATAGTAGCCAAATGAATACCTTAAGTAATAGGAAAATGAATAGCCAAGCATTTCTAGAAAATGCATCATAAAAGCAATCTATTGTACTGAAAATCAAAACAACAACAAATCAGAAATTATTTTCTGACTTGTTTTAAGAAACATGGTTAAAAAACCCATTATCTTTAATGGCATCATGGTACAAATTACGTAAAATAACTTGTTCGGATCATAATGTCTAAACAAAGAACAAAGATAGATAAGTTTAATTTTGGGACAGGGAACATAACTTGTTCGTATTTGTTGTATCTACATGACTTGAAAGTATTGCAGGCTCGAGTATACATAAGATCTTGTTGAACGCATGCTGCGAGATCATGTTTTATTCAAATTTAACCGCTTCAACGAATATAAAAATACAATTTTCCCGTGACTTAGTAGGGTCGCTAATGATGAAACAAACAATTATAATAGGCAACACAAGAGTGATGATTAACATAGTGTCAAAACAATTCAGTTTTGTGACAAAAACTAAATGCTTAAAATGACGTCATCTTGTCAAAGATAGTAAACCATAAATAGTTGTTTATAATTATATAAACAACTATTACAATCGGCAATGAGTGCTAATGCGTTATAGTTGAGGATTGTGTTTTGGTCAACTGGAAAGACTTATTATGTATATCGTTACGGCAGAATCCATAAACGATCATGAATGCGCTACTAGATTCACCTCTTTGCTGATAAATGTTTTACTTACTATGATTTTTTTTTCATACATCAATTAATTAATCTTTACAGACAGTAATAATGACGAAAATATATTTCAAGAATATCTCTTCGTTCTTTCAGGAATATTCAACAGACTATTGGACATTCTTAAGATACTTTTCTTTTTTTTTGGGGGGGGGGGAGCTTGAGCGATTATTTTCTTCACTTGAATGGTACTGAAAAGGTATTGTCACTCAATAACACCATCCTCTTTATATTTTCAAAGAAATAAATTCGAGGGTGTGTTCTACTTACTATTGATTACCCAAATTCACGTTAGAAATCATCAATTGTTATTTTGCAAGTACAAGACCCTCTTCAGTATTGATAGGACTATCAACAATTCATTCCATGGGGTATTACAAAGGTACGTAAGGAATGAAGCCTACGAAATGAAACAATCGTATCTGTAATGAAGAAACGAAATGTAAAGATTATACACCAAACCCAACTGTTAACTTGCTAAGAAAGAGCTGGAATATTGACAAGACACGTCCGAGGCTGTCAGGCTGAAGGAAAAGTCTATCCCTTTTGGTTATGTGCATATACATCACTTTATATCATACTACTCAATAATCAAGAGAGAATAGATATCCATTCGTTGTACTCTTAACTTTTTGTTTGATATTTTTAGGTCCATTATCTCCTCTTCCTAGAGATTTAATCGCCGCCCGCACTATCCAAATAAACATATATATACATAATAATAAATAAATAAAGACGGACCAACAAGGGATATAACTCTATCGTAAATGAGATTTTAACTGATATCCCAACAGTCTCTCAAAACACCATCATTGCATACGTACACATCTTTTGTCTGCCACAGCCGCTGGAGAGGGAGTAATAAGGGACAATTTCAAGTTACCATGGTAACCATTTATGCATGTGTGTTTCATACAAAGATGGTATCCATGTATATTTTTTTTAGCAGCGCGGTAGCGTCATTTACAAGCTCAGTGTGGGTTGAGGCAAATACAGATCGGAAACTTCGATGAATTGCATTAATGAAATTTTCACCACTATATTCAACTCACTAACACAGAGAACGAAACGTTTTTAGCTATGTTGTTTATTCTATTTGGACAAACCCAATGCTTATTCTGGCTTTGTAAAAGCCAAAAATGAAATATAGTTATATACTTTTTTTTAATCGACATATCCTGTGATTAACGGCATATATGCATAATACTGATCTTTATAGGCACACTATACAACAGTACGACACTCCATTATGTGGTCAGATGAAAATGTCTCATAAACAAAGCTTGGAGACTTTAGCATTTAGATTTAGCGTATGACATGCCTGCTAAATAAACCTTTAAAAGCTGTTGTTCTGGAGCATCATTTTATTTTAATGAGTGTGTGCGTGCGTGTGTGCGCGCGTGTGGGTGAGACGAGAATTCAACTTTATCTTTAAATAAACATATAAGGGCAAAGTTGCCATAAAAAGCTAATCTAGAAAATTCTTGCTTCGTTTTCTAGACAATGAACCATGTCTTATTTCGCATAATTCAAGATTTTTGCATTTTCCGTATTGCGTTCGTTTCCCTTCCGAACAAAAGAACAAGAGTGAATTAATCGAATGCCATTTCCAGGATAACGAGTGCATCACAGCTACAATATTAGAGTCAATCCATTGTTTATAAATATCGTATACCTTTCCAGCAAAGAAAACAATTTATTCTAATAAGGAAAAGTATTATAGCTCTGACAAATCTAAAGTTAAATAAATGGGTGAAAATTTTGTTTCATTGTTCCAAATATTAAAAAAAAAAAATGATAACGACGACCTTCTTATGTGTCACCTTTTGGTTCAGATAAATTGATGATATTTCAATAGAGTATGGTACATGTTTGCTTTTTATCAATGCAAGCTTTCCACGGGTTTTTAGCACGGTAAAAAGATAGCTGTAATTATGATATCCTGCATGTACGTACGTTTTCTTGCAAAGTTACATACCTAAAGGATTCCTGTTGACGGGGTTTTTAAAAGGTTTTGAAATACTCGTTTTTTCTTGCGACTTCTTTGCAATTTCTTATGCATTCATTTCATTAAATGAAGATAGGCCTACTAATTGTCATTATTTATTTCAAATGTTCCCGTTTTTATATAAGGAATAACGAATGAATAGGAAAACCGTCATGTAATCTTTTCGAAAGAAATATTGAGCTAATTATTTCGAATTTACATTGCATAATTATCATCATCATGACTGCAAGTCTGCAACCTTCTTAACTTCTCTATCTACAATAATGGTGTGCTTCATTTACAGAGAGTAAGGAATGAAAAGGCTTTTAACATGATTTTTAATGAAGTAGATACTGCTTCATAATCATTTTCTTTTAGAAAAGTCAAACCTTACATTGATTTACTTCATCTCCGATCCCCTAAGCAAATACAAATGTATTATGCTTAGACTGTTAATCACGACTACAAAGGATGACGTGATAAATTTAACTTAATGAACCGTTCGCAACGGGAGCCACAAGAGGATTAAAATTGCCTGTCATTAATTTCTACATTAGACCGCTTTGTTCACTGAACACTGTACATGTGATTTACATTTTCTGTTGAATAACTTGAATAGCTAATTGCGGTATGCGGTGCTGCGTTGAGATTTTGTACGGGAATCTATTCATTGCTTTAGAAAAAAGGTCGCGGTTTTGTCATATAACTACATTTCACATAGGCGTGGTTCTATATATGAATTGTTGTTGTTGTTGTTGTTGTTGGGGAGGGAAGGGGGTAAGAGTGTTGGGGGATTTTGAAATAATTTAATTGATATTTCAATATGAACATTATGTTATCAAGATTTTACAGTACAATACCAACACCACAACTATAAAAAAAAACACCTGCGTGACATTGAATGCATTACAATACGCAACAGACTTATGCAACATACTGCTTGAAATTTACAATGTGTGAGACGTACAGCATGAAATTTTTCCCCAAAATCTCATTAATTCCGAGTATTCTTTGAAAATTCCGGGGGATAAAATACCCCATACATGCCGATGTTTTGGAGGTTTAGACATATTATCATTATGACCCTTTAAAACATATAATATTCTACAAATAATTTACGGTCATGAAGTTCAGTCATTGACTGACTGGTGTATTTACCTTCTTTACCAAACGAAAAAGGACACATGTAAGAAGGAAAAATATCAGTATTTTTCAAGGTAAACCAATAATTACTATAAATGAATGTACCTTAAGGGAATAAAAGAGAAATCCTACACACCTGACAGTATAAGATTCACACCCTTTCTCCTGCTGAGCGTCATAGAGTCCGTAGAGATGATTTCGCGCTCAAATCGAGATGACAAAATCCCACCTCATCGATCGATCAGCACACCGGCATAGATCTGTTTGGCTGCCAAGACAACAGTGAATGATGGTCGTTAAAAAAAATCACAGCATCATTCCTTACGAAATTAATACCGATGTCGGAAAAGAAGGCGATGTAAGTGGCCCGTCATCGATGAAAATGGTAGATTTGAGGCGACCAGACATTATCACATGGCTGGTAAACTGAAGCGTTTTCGCTTTCTCCAGCCTGTTGCATGTCTACATCCAACTCGTGTAATCTGTTTGTTAACACACGACTTATTACGATCGAACGTTTTCCCTCATCGGTGCGAACGTAAAGTAGTACTGTAGCAACGTTAATTATCATGCTTCAACCATTGAACACTCGCACACACAAAACCACACACGTTGGACTACTTGAATCCCATGTTGAGCGTAATAGAGTTAGTGATTTCGTGTGCCCTTCTTTGGTTCATTCTAATCGTATTTCGTCATAGGTAGATGTTGAAGTCGTGAACAATATTGTTGATTTTCAATGTCAAGCCGACAAGCCGACACATTAATAACCGACTTACTATTGGCATGAAACTACAAGTTTACATCAATGCATTAAAATCTGTTAATTTCCAGAAAACGGATTAGAACTTAATTGAATTCTCAGAGTTAAAGGGTTGTCTGAGAAGCCTACAGTTATTGTAAATAAAGAAAAGGCAAGCATTCGAAAAGTAATCTTGTTTTGGGGGTATTGTTAATTGTCATGTACAAGAAAATCGTACAGCTATTTGATTACGTTTCTTTGTTTTGATAAAATAATAAAACAAAAGGTAAGAATAAGATCTAGTATTAAAGTTTGATTGAAAAAGTATAGGAAAAAACATTTAGATGCCGAATACCACAAGAGGCTCCTTCTTCCATACCTTGACAATTTATGTCACTTCTAAATCTTCATAGAATTATAATTTTGTTTTATCGATCAATGTTACCAGGGACCTATAATAAACAAGCACTGCTTTTCGATAGGTTCCTCACATTCTACTTAATCTATCATATGAATTGAGTGTCATTGAGACGTGCTCGTAATACTACATTGTATATATATTTTCCATTTTATACATCTGTCTACATTTTTTTTTAATGTGGAACAAATCAACTTGAAACTTGAAACTTCAATGCTGTTTTAGGCTTAGAAATTTAGGGCAGCTTTATGTTTGTAAATTTAAAAGTCCATTTTGAACTGGCTCACCACAATAATAAATTAGCCGAATTTCTTTGAAATTATTTATATTATTAGAAACCTCACGTTTCTAAGACTAGAGTGCAAGCATGTTCAGATTTGGCGAGGTAATACCTAGGTCACATTTGCCGCGGCGGCCGTGCGGTCTAAAATATCAACGGCCAATAGCAATATTATTATAGGACCGCCGCAGCAATCCCACAGTCAAATACGGTAGCGGTAGGATAGCCGCACGGCGTATTTTGAATTTGTGGAGATCTCCGACTGCCGTACAGCCTTTGAAGTGATGACGCACGGTCGCCTTAGAGCTTCCCTGCGGCGGCCGTAGCGTTTTGACAAAAACTAATGCAGACGCAAGGAAGCCGCAAGGTGCCCGCAAGTCGGCCGAAGGGGGACCATACGGCAACCGTGCGGCCAGAATGCTGCTACAAGTTCACCCCTGGGGTATATAACATGGTAGGCTATCGTACGCCCGACGTACGGCCGCCGTTGAACCGCTCTACGGCATGGCTACGGCGTGTCTAATCGCTACGGCGAACCTAGAAATGAAAACAGTTCAACTCCGCGTTATAATCCAAGGCGACCCGTACGGCCTGTAAAGGGAAACGCCCTAGGATTACCCTGAGGTCACCGCAGATTTTCTGCAGCCGCCGCAAGTATCTCTTGATTTCGGGGGCTTACGGCCGCCGTAACCTAGCCGTAGAGCAATGTAACCTAGGCATAAACCGCCGCAAAAAAAAATCCGCCGCAGTTATTTTCAACGTGTAAATGAATGGCAACTGCGTGCAACGAAGGACTTGCGCGAATTCACTGGGCTCTGTATTTAAGATAAAGGAATGTTAAGATAATTATACCTAACGCCATCATAAAGAATCGCTGCGGTTTATATCTGAACTAGCCTTTAATAATAAGATAAGCAGACATTGACTCTGTAGTGATTTAAGAAGAAGAGGCACCAGAAATACGGTGTAGCCGGTGTAAGAATAGTGAAGATGATGATGAATGTGATGTTTGACAAAACAATATTATTGTCAGATGCTGCTTGTAGTGTCGGCTTGCATGGTGATGTAGACAGTAGGTTTGCGGGTGCACCATGTGAGATGCACTTATCCTCTCCAAGCGCTATAGTTCTCCTTAGAACTATATGCTAAGAAAGATAACAAACAGTCCTTTTCAGGACTACCACACCCCCAAGAAATATTACCTAGTCAGAGTCCTTTTCAGGACTCCTCAATCCTCTCTCTCTCTCTCTCACATGGTGCACCCGCAAACCTACTGTAAATAATTATTGTCATGCAGACTAGTTTTATATAAAAGAGACAGGCAAACATGAGGCGGAACCCAATTCATAATAAGCTAATTAGGAGATATCGACTTTCTCAAATGCAAATTCCTTTCTCTGGTAGTCTTGACGTATTGTTAGGGCATAACTGACATAGCAACAATGGTCTTTGTTGAAGAGACATGCAATTTTTCAATGAGACGATATAAGCAAGGAAAAAAAACTAGAAGTTTTTCTGTTCTAAAGAGCGGGAGAATGCGAGCAAAGAATCAATACAAATGCACTTATTAAATTCTCAGAAGATAAGAAGGTTAAATGCATATTCCGAGGCCATGCGCAGTAGGCCTACTGGCAATGAACATGATGAAAGTCATTCTTACAGGCGTCATAGGAAATGTAGAGCATGCGTCAGCTAGACAACTTCTAAATGAGTATAATTATCTACAATAAACAGGACAAGATGTTGTTAATCTAATGTAACCTTTTGCTCTCCAATATCATTAGTGATTCATGACTGCGGTTATAAAAGAGGTTCATACAATAATATGATTGCATAAATCAAAGAGACTTTGAAAACAATGTTCTTCCCAAGAATACTTCATGATCATCTTGGCTTGTCAAGATATATTTGTTGGCCTGCGTTTCAGCAAAAAATAAAGCTCAGACATTGCATGACTATAAATATAAGACCTAATCAACTTGTCCCACACACAACCGTCACAAACGTGTCGCAATCTCGGTGTTATGTTTGACTCACATATGACAATGTCTAACCAAGTTCTTAATATTTGTAGATCTGTAAGGTACCACTTGCGTAATATCGGTTTTATTCGTAAATATTTGTCCAAGTCTGCCACCGAAAAATTAGTTCATGCTCTGATTTCCTCCCGTCTTGATTTTGCCAATGCCCTCCTAATCAATCTACCCCAGAATCTAGTGTCCAAGCTTCAGAAGCTTCAAAACGCTGCAGCTCGTATTGTTTCTCTGACCACCAAGCGTACCCACATTTCCCCAGTTTTGCAGTCGCTACACTGGCTCCCAGTAAAAGATCGCATTGTTTTCAAAATTTTGTCGCTCACCTTTCATTGCGTTCACGGCTCTGCTCCTCAATACCTTATCTCTCTAATCCAAAACTACACTCCTGCAAGACCTCTACGCTCATCCACTTCCAATTTTCTTGTAACCCCCAAAATTACCAAAACGTGGGGGGAAAGATCTTTTGCATACTCTAGTCCTAAATTATGGAATGGCCTTCCTGAAGACATCAAAAAATGTTTATCCTCTGATTCTTTCAAAACTCATCTCAAAACATTTCTTTTCAAGTCTTGATCTTTTTTCCTGTTTACACGCGCCTTGAGCACTCCACAGAGTGGATTTGGCGCGATATAAGTTATATTATTATTATTATTATTACAACCAAATAATGATTCCGAGTATGATAAAAAAACGACTGAAAAATAATGATTGCAATCACATTTAATTCTATCCGTGTGATAGGAGCAGAAGATCACATCGGCATGAAACTCGGTACTTGTTTGCATGTGATAACAAATGTAGTCAACATGATTGTTTAAAAAAAAAATGAATAGTCTAGTATAGAAACAAAGAAAAAAAGAGGTTGTGGTTTTAGAAAGCTCATTATAAAGGGATGGTGCTGAGGGAGGAAGATAAATAGAAAGAGAGAGAGAGAGTGAGAGAGATAATGTTGAGAAATTAAACCTCCCTACGGTTCTTGATATGAGACCTGGGCTTGGCCAAACGGATAATTGCACTATGTTACCATGGTAACTAGTATAAGTAAACGCACGAAGATGGTTATTCAAGCGAGTTGATAGGAGGAGGATTTCATGAGAGCGGCAGAGAAGGCCATGCGCTTGGCTTAGAGTAGGCTAGGTTTGCAATCCCTACCGTTGTGCCTTACGTGATGTCGCATGATTTTAATAATGTTTCATTGTTTGATCAGCATGCATCTTAGGCATTTAATATGAGTAATTATATGAATGTGACCATTGCCATGCCCATAATTACTAGCTTTATAATATATTCTCCGTGGCGTAGCTACTTGGTGGGAGGAACATGCACCCTCTCCCCCCCCCCCCCACCCCACCCCCGTTGACTCCCCACCCGAAATCCACCTATAGTAATTAGATGGATCTCACTGCAGCCCCCTCACTAACTAGACTCACGCTATGCGCCACTGATCACTATTATCAAGCTACATACAATGTCATCATGAGCTTTTTAATGAATATCTTCCCTTCTTTTCTTCTTCTTCCTCATCATCATCATCCTCATCCTTCTCCACATCATCTCATTATTTCTCTCTCTAGCATTTCATCCCCATTTCAGTCGATCTTCAGTGCGGTTATCACAGTGTTTCATCACAGTATGTGTTATTCATGACACGATATCTACGTCGCGAAGGTTTCCATGCATATATCTTTATTCTACCAGGTTGGTTGCCAAGACAATGACAAGCATCACATGTACACACGTTCATCTTCCATCTATTCTACAGTGTTTCTGTGTCTGTGTGTGGGTTTATAGGATATGGTATACCCTAACCTAATTGATGCATTCAACATAATTATTTACGCAAAGCAGTTGTCCAAACGACAGACTTGAAGCGTAGGTGTAATTAGTGATAATTCCATTATCAGTTTATGAATTAAATTAATTATTTACTGTTTGGTATTCAAAGCTTATAATCATTTCTCTCACAGCGCGTGTGGCAGGTTC